CAGAAACTCAATTAGCTGAATGATGCAGTTACAAAGGAAAATGGGGAGGGAAAGAGAGAAGGGATTGGAATAAAGAGAAAAGGAGTGGGGCTGGGCATGGTGGCTCACACCTGTAATCCCAGCACTTGGGGAGGCCAAGGCGGGTAGATCATGAGCTCAGGAGATTGAGACTATTCTAGGCTAAGACGGTGAAACCCGGTCTCTACTAAAAAATACAAAAAAAAAAAATTTTTTTAGCCGGGCGTGGTGGCACATGCCTGCAGTCTGAACTACTGGGGAGGCTGAGGCAGGAGAATAGCTTGAACCCAGGAAGCGGAGGTTGCAGTGAGCCAAGATTGAGCCACTGCATCCAGCCTAGGTGACAGAGCGAGACTCCGTCTCAAAAAAAGAGAGAGAGAAAGAGGTAAAGAAACTCACTGCCTATGAATTCCTAGCCTCTACCCCACCCTTCTTATCACTCCTGATGACTTTCAGTCTTCCTCACAGCTCACCCAGCCTCTAGTTTCCTCATTCTTCCTTAGTCATCTCATCCCTTCCACAAACCCTGGGGCCTCAGACCTTGTAGATTTCCTCCTCTGAGATCCCAGGTGCTTAACCTCACCCTGGCTACCACCATCACAGGGGCACACATGCGCACGTGCACGCACACACACAAACACAGCCAGAGAGAAAATTCACCTCCCTTGGGCTAGGTTAGAGAGAGGAGTGGAGGGGAAGCTAGGACAGTAATGATTAATATAACCTGGGGGCTAAACTGGGGACTTCACCACCATTTCAAAACTGTTTCTTTAGGAAATACACTCTGAGCTCCAAATTATCATGAACTTTTCCAATACAATCCTATTAGGAATTGGGAACTGCCTACAATTACTTCCTGATAAATTGTAAACATGTTGTTATAAATTTGTAAATGTTCACCAGGCATGGTGGCTAATGCCTATAATTCCAAAACTTTGGGAGGCTGAAACAGGATCTCTTGAGCTCAGGAGTTTGAGACCAGCCTGTGTGCCAAGGTGAAAACCCATCTCTACAAAATACAAAAATTAGATGGGCATGGTGGCACATGCCTGTGGTTCCATGGGAGGATCACTTAACCCCAGGAGGTCAAGGATGCAGTGAGCAGGGATGGCGCCACTACACTCCAGCCTGGGCAACTGATTAAGACCCTGTCTCAAAAAAAAATGTAAATGGTAAGCACTAGATTTATGAAACATCTATATTCTAAAGAAAGCAACCATGTGGACTATATCCAAGCTTCTCAAAAGTCTGTTTACTAACCAGAATTTGGTTGGTCACATGTATAGACTCTGTAAAATTCATGATTCAGTGAATTAGAGCCCTGACCCAGACTTTCTTCCCTGAAGGTTGAAAAACTAAGACACCCTTCTGATGATCCCAGCAGAAAAATCCTAAGCAGAGTTCATGTGCATTTTTTCTTACCATTTTAGAACCCCAGCCAGCGTACTGGATTTTGATTTAATTATTCTAAGGCACAGGTCTGTATTTTCAACAGACTACCAAACAGGATCCTCTCAGCTCGCCTGAAATGTATGTCTTGCTGTTCATTTATTTTATCTCAGAGTGTCAAGGTGTCCTCCTCAGGAAGGCTTGAATGTCCCTTCTCCTCTATTCAATGTTGTTTACAAGAGGAACAACCTCCCAGGCACTACTGTGATTCTGACCCTATGACTCAGGGCTTTTGATTCTGCTGGCACATTTTAGTAGTCTCAAGCCTGTTGCAGGCTCCCTACTCCAGGCCTAAACAAAAGTCTCCTTGGAAAGCGAAATTCAAAAGCAGAGCTCACCGAGCCTTCACCAGGCTGCCCTACTTGACAGCCTGTAACCTGTCCAAAGCCGCCCTTGGTTTCCTGTGGCCTCCAGAAAGAAATCTCCTTATGAATGCTGTCCAGCAACACTGGCTGGCTGTGTACATTAACCCCTTCTCACCAGCTTCGTCACATTGAGCAGCAGGGCCTTAATGACCTAAGAAGCATACCAGATAAAAAACAAGTTCCAGAATTGGCAGAGATAATGGTAAACTCTTAGGATTTAAACTTGATGGCTAATAGAAAACACACCCCAATGGCCAAACCTCCAATTTCAAGACAAAATTGTACTCATTCACAAAGAAAGTGATTAAAAAAAGAAGAAAATTTATCTTAGGCAAGGATAGTAGTATATTGTGAAGAAGCCAACTAAACTTACTACACACACAAACAATATGCAAGAGCATGTTAAAAAAAAAAAAAAAAAAGATAGTACCAATAAAATGGTTCCACAAAGAGCAATCCTTAAAACAGATAATTTGAAATATTTATGTCAAGAACCAGGAGTAATGGCTCGTGCTTGTAATCCCAGCACTTTGGGAGGCTTAGTTGGGAGGATGATTTGATCCCAGGAGTTCAACACCAACCTGGGAAACACAGGGAGATCCCATCTCTACAAAAAATTAAAATTAAAAATTAGCTGGGTGTGGTGGTATACACCCATGGTCCCAGCTACTTGGGAGGCTGAAGCATGGGGTATCACTTGAGCCCAGGAGTTCCAGGCTGCAGTAAGCCTTGACTGTACCTCTGTACTCCAGCCTGGGAGACAGAGTGAGACCCTGTCTCCAAAGAGAAAAAGAAAGAAAAGAAAAAAGAGAAAGAAATATTTATGCCAAGGAACAGAATTCTGCCTAGGTACTAACGTTCAGGAAGCAGATATATGAAAACAGAATGTAGTCGGCTGTGAGAAAAATTAAGCAAAAGAGGAAAGTAGCCTTTTTTAGGCAAAAGGAGGAAGGGCAGAGAAGACTATAAGTAAAGAAAAATACTATGAGAATATCTCACAGTTAAAGAAACTTTTTTTTTGAGATGGAGTCTTGCTCTGTCACCAGGCTGAAGTACAGTGGTGAGATCTCCAGTCACTGCAACCTCTGCCTCCTGGATTCAAGTGATTCTCCTGACTCAGCCTCTCGAGCAGCTGGGACTATAGGCATGTGCCATCAGGCCCAGCTAATTTTTGTATTTTTAGTAGAGACGTGGTTTCACCATGTTGGCCAGGATGGTCTCCATCTCTTGACCTTGTGATCCGCTGGCCCTGGCCTCCCAAAGTGCTGGGATTACAGGCGTGAGTCACCGCACCCAGCCAGGAACTTTAAATAATTTACTAGTACACTGACTTGCGGGACGATTTTACTTATTCAATTCACTCAACAATGCTTTTCTCTGGAGCCCCTGTGATATAGTTTGGCTGTGTCCCCACCCAAATCTCATCTTGAACTGTAGTCCCTACAATCTCCACGTGTCATGGGAGGGACCTGGTGGGAGGTAATTGGATCATGGGAGCAATTTCCCCCAAGTTGCTTTTCTCATGATAGTGAGTTCTCACGAGATCTAATGGTTCTATAAGGGGCTTTTCGCCCTTAGCTCTGCACTTCTCCTTGCTGCCCCCATGTGAAGAAGGACGTGTTTGCTTCCCCTTCTGCCATGATTGTAAGTTTCCTGAGCCCTGCCTCTGCCCCGGCCATGCTGAACTGTGAGTCAATTAAACTTCTTTCCTTTATAAATTAACCAGTCTTGGGTATGTTTTTATTAGCAGCATGAGAACGGACTAATACACCCCACTATGTGCCAGCTATTTTCTACAAAAGTCACATTTTACGACCTGAATTTCAAAGACCTGAAGTCAGTGGCCTAAGAATAATCTAAAGATTTCCAAAAAGATCTGTGTGCTTTTTTGTTAAACACAAACAAACACTGGAAATACAACGGACAAGCTGCCTATGTGACTATGGAGAGAGAAGGAAGCAGCTGCAGTGATTGCTTCCTTTACCTATTTTCATTCATTCTCTCTTAGACCCAATCAACATCTACTTATTATCTACTTGGTCTCTTGCTTGGCTTTATTCAGGACAAAAAGATGAGTAGAATTCTTCATGGAGCTTAAAGCAAAATAGAGAGCATTAGACATGCCAATAATTAAAGCATATCACAGCATAACCGGATGGTCAGAATAGGAAGTAAACACTTCTGACCAGGTAATTATATGAGCTTTGTGAAACCAAAAACTCCTGAGGAGTTGGATCATCAAGGATGGACAAGATTTTAATAAGAGGGATGGAGTAGGTAATCCACAGGTAGGAAGAGCACATATGAAAGTGAGAAATAGGCCAAGTGCAGTGATTCACACCTGTAATCCCAACACTTTGGGAAGCAAAGGCAGGAGCATCGTGCCCAGCCTGGGCATGATGGCAAAACCCCGTCTCTACAAAAAACACAAAAATTGGCCAGGTGTGGTGGCATGCATCTGTAGTTCCAGCTACTCAAGGAGGCTAAGATAGGAAGACTGCTTAAGCCTGGGAGGTTGAGACTGCAATGAGCTATGATCACATCACTGCACTCCAGCCTGGGTGACAGAGCGAGACCCCATCAAAAAATAAAAATAGATTTTAAAAATTAAATTTTTTAGAAAGTAAGAAAGAATAGTTATGTGTTTCCTACATTTTTCCTATATCCACTTGAGGTCAGCAATTAGCCATCAACAGGTAAAATAACCAATCTTCAAAGAGTGGCAACTTCTAAAAATTTGGAAGTTTCACCTGACAAAGGCACCATACGTAAATGCCTGCATTTCAGTAACTTCAGATTTCTTACACCTAGCAAATAAATGTCACTAAATTGGCTAATTTCCTGCCCCATGTTTCCTGCTGTGACTTTTGAGCTTGTGCCTAGAGGCCCAGGACCTCTCTGTTCCATGCCTTTCTTGTAGCACCTACGTTGCCACTGGTTCAAATTCTTTGAATTGGCTACTAAAATAAATTAACTACTTCAGGCATGTATTGCAAATACCCATTCCAACTGTATGCTAAAAGAAGGCTGCACTTGAGAATAATTTAATATACATTTTCTAAACAATTCCCTTACCATGTGTTTTTCACCCATGCATTCCTAACCAACCAGGCTGTTGAAGGTTAATTGCAATAATGCATGCGAAAGTGTCTGTCTGGCACCTGTTACCTGGAATGCTGATGTCTGAGTCCAAGTTGCAGCTGACCATCTGGAGCTTCATAGGGCTCTTCTACCTCATATACATTTGCATCAGTGTCCTCCATGCTGCTGGCATTCTGCCATTCCAACTCTGGAGTTTTCCCTATAGCCATAATAAACGGCAAGTTCTCATACTCTGGTATTTCCTCATAATGGCGTATATTTTCATACTCTGGTGCACAGAGGCTTGTAACAGATTTGCAAGGTGCCTGAGATGATGACTCCCGGGAGAGCATCTGGTCATCCAAAGACTCAGCTCTCAGGCCATTAGCCGCACTGGTCTGGCCTCGAGACTTCTTCCTCTTCTTTTGAGATTCCAGGATATAGTTATCTGTAGAATACGCCTTTGTGGGTTTACTTCTCTTCTCCTCGCCTACCAACAAGCCGTGCCAATCACTTTCAATCCCCTTCTGCTCCCCACCAGAGAGGGGGCCTGTGGTGGTGTCTCCGAGTTGGCTACTTTTGAACCAAAATTTCTGAAAGTCACTCTTCATGAAGCAAATGGACAGTTTCATGTTGAGCAACTTTTTAAAAGAGTTTTTCTTTGTAGAGTCTTTGCAAGGCTTAGTGCACTTTTCCACATCCACGGCAGATAACGATTTTGCTCTGGGCTTGGTTAGGGCTGTTGAAGGCTCACTGTTTGAGGATATGGTGACAGACTTTAAGGATTCTGGGTTCCCTGAAAAGGGTAAAATAGGATGAGGCAATTTCCACACTGGTTTTTCTGAAGCCCGCTTAGGCATATCAAAGGAGGATGACACACCACGGTTTTGGGCACACAAATGCTGAAGGTGATTTCTTTCTAGAACCTTCTCTGAACTTTTTTCTTCAATGGAAGGATAAGAACTTTTTTCCACAAGCTCCTCGGAGGCAGCCTTTTTAAGCACTCCTGTAGCGGGCAAGCTGTGTCTCTGAGGTTTTTTGGGGATAATTCGTAGGGAACTTTCCTCTTTTATAACAGATTCCTTTTGCATTTGAGGGGCAGAAACTCCCAGGTTTCTCCCAGATTGCAACTGTTCATTGCAAGTTAATTTGAGCTGCTTAGGCAGGCTCATAGATAGAGTACTACATCTTATAAAACTGGTCCCTTTGTCCACAGCAAGTGACGTACTAGAACCATCTACAGTTGTGCTATCAGAACTCAAATTAGAGTCTGTATCAAAAGAAGGTACTATTTTTTCAAAGGAAGATGTTTCATGACACATGGCTTTTTGTGAATTCACTAAGTCCTGTGTGTCACTGTTAGATTCCACATTCAATTCACTTCTATTTCCTAGTTTCACTTTATTTACCTGTTCCTGCTTACACAAAACATTCTGATGAAGAACACTGATTTTACTGATTTTCAAACTATTTTCAGTAAGACAGGAAGAGCTACTGTCTGAATTCCCTGGTTCCTCAGTGCTTTCACTAGGAGTATCTACGTACTTTTGGCGTAATAGACGAGCAGTTCGTGTCTTTCTGGGCTTGGGAGTTGGAAATTTGGGGATATATGGTACTAAATGAATTTCTAAGGGACCAAGTTCTTTGACTTCTGATGTCTTACTAACTCCATCTGAAGATATAAAAGTACTCCTTTTCCCATTTTCCAGAGCCCCTAGTTCAGACGACTGAAAGCAATTATTGCTTTTTTCACTATCATCCTGGGAAGTTTCAAAATTTTCAAATTCATCACTAGGAAGCTGTAAGTGGCAACTGTGATGATCAGGAACTTTTTCAAAGCTGGATGGGGAAGGTGACAAATCTGCAAATTCAAGTCTGAATTGTTCGTTTGAATTACAGTCACCATTCATTTCTGGGTTGTCTATGGGCCTGTGCTTCTGTGAGGAAATAAAAGGTGGCATTCGGTGTATTAAGGCATCTTTGAGCTTCTCTTCTATGATGCTTGCCTTTAAAATGACCCCACCATGGTTCTTGGCCTTTTCACCACAGGAATCACATTTACTCCTAGTTTTTATGGTCAAAGACTCATCAATTTTACTGTTTTCTAAATTTTCATTCATTTCCAGGGGCTCTAAAACAAGCTGCTTTACACACACATTCTCTTTATGGCCAAGCTTATGGATACATTCAGAACTGCAGGAACACATTGGTAAAATATAATCGCTGCTCTGATCACCTTCATATTTACAATTTAAAGTGTCAATGCTTTCAGTTAATTCCTGTTTATGCCCTTCCAGGTTCACCATGATTTTCCTTGATGGCGACTGTCCAATGTCTCGAACAGGCGAGCTCTTCAGGACTTTTGGTTTTGGGGCTATTGCTGGTTTCATTTTCCTTGTTGACTGTGGAGTACTAGAAAGCACAATGTCAGGTTTAGGTGCAATAGGAGGTGGAGCTGGCTTATTATTTGCCACAACAAACCTGGGCTTGGGGGCCACTGGTGGCTTCTTAATCTCTAGAAAGGAAAAAAATAATAATTTGATGTCAAAGTAACCAAAGGACAAGATAATACATGATTACATTTGGTAACATTTTTTACTTTTAACAATATGAATTTGCATTTTACTAAGCAGAGTATGTTACATCATATAGTATCAATATTACTCCTGAAAATTATTTAAATTATCCTTCAATTCCATATACAGCTTCGGGTCTATTGTACAGTTTTAAATAAATCCAATACAGTGTTTTTCTCCAACTTTGGAACTCACTACCATATCTTTCATTGACACTAAATGAAGTAACTGACTTCAGTCTGGGACCCATATAGTAGTTCTTCAGTTCATCTGCCAAGTGCTGAGAGTTGAATTTGCCTAAGTTAGATGTGGGATACAACTCTTTAAACTTCTCATATGAACAAGCAGTAGCAGTCTTCTACCTCAAGGATAATATAATAGAGTTGCATAAACGCCTTTTATCAATGATCTGTCTACCTCAATAGAACCCCAAAACAATCTTAAAAAAGGAAGACAGAGATCGGAAAGTTTCCAACTTAAAAACTGAAAATTAATTCTTTGGTATTATTTAAGGCTCAAAATAAAGCTAGTTTTTTTCTGCAAGAGTTATTGATTGGAATTTTCATTATATTCCTTCACGGAGCTGTATTTTTTTAAAAGTCACATCTCTAGGCCCTACCCAAAAGTAAATTAATCTGAGTTTCTGGGGATAGATCCTGAACATCTGTATATCTTTTAAGTTCCATAGGTGATTATGTTGTTTATCCTTCATTAATAACCACTGTTCTGATATATTTAAAAAAATAACCACAATTTCTAGTGTAGTATTTATTCCTAGACATTTAATACCTATTATACATGCTGTATCAGTACAGATCTGCTCCTGTACTATAGGAACCTAGTAAAAGCTTCATACAAAAGACCTATAAAATGAAAAGATAAATAAAGCCTGTATATCTGTAAGTTCCTTTACGTTCTTCCATCTCCACTGTCATGTTATAGACCATATTTACCCAAGGAGATGTGAGATAAAAAATATTTTATCTTTTATGTTTATATTTGTTCCTTTGACAGGATAAAATAAAAACTTAATAAAAACTTAATTTGCTGAAAAAACTTTTCAAAATATCTGCTGCAAAGGACTGCTGGACATTGTTTAATTACTTGAAAATACAGGGGCTCTAATATTTCATTTGGTGATGACTTCCTTTTGAACAAAGGAAATCAGTCATGAACTTGGGAAGCTATTACATGGAACTGAGTTTTTTTCAAAAAGAAAGAGTAGGGTGCTCTACTTCCTTTTACCCACCAAGGAAGAATGCCCTAAATCTCTCCTTCTATGTGTGCGGTAAAAATTATATGATGATACACGTTTTCTCACTCAATTTCTAGGTGTAATGTCATCATCAATTAAAAAAATATTTTCAAAATAATACAAATTCCTATACTACATAATTTCAGTTATCTGTTAGATAAGCATAGTTAGTTTTGTATCAGTTTTTTAGGCAGAAAATAACTGTAAAACCCTTCAAAGCCTAGAGGTGATAAAGCTTGCTGTAAACGTCTATCAAATTAACCCTCCATTTATTAAGTCAAGTCTTAAGAGAAAGGATGAATGCCTTAGGCCTCTTCCCGACTGCCCATCTTACTCAATAAAAACTGACAGACTGTCAAGTTGATTTCATTTCTGTAACCAATCTCAAAACATCCTACCTCTGGGATTTTTAAAAGAATTTTTTTAAATTAGTTTTGGCAGCCTGACACAGTGGCTCATGCCTGTAATCCCAGCACCTTGGGAGGCCAAGATGAGAGGACTGCTTGAGCTCAGGAATTGGAGACCAGCCTGGGCAACACAGTGAGACCTCATCTCTATGAAAAATAAATATTAGCTTTGTAAAATGAAAAGTTCTTGAGGTTGGCTGTACAACGTGAACATACTTAACACCTCTGAACTACATACTTAAAAATGAGTAAGATGGTAAATTTATTTTACATGTCATTTTACCACAGTGGGAAAAAAACTTCATCTCATCAAATTAATCTCTTACTTTCTGAATCTTAGAATCTTGTCAGAAGCTTCAGGGTCATTTAAATATCATTTTTTAAAAATCTCTGGTACCAGTTTTACTCTTTTTAAAAAATGTGTTTTGTATACAAATCTGCTCCCAAGAGATAAAAATTCCTGTTCTAGTGTCATAGAAATTCAATTAACTACATATGAACTGGAGTTGATTCCCAATAAATATAGCAAAGCACTATTACGTATATAAAGCCCTCAATGCATATTCACTGAATTCAATTAATAACCACAAACTTGGGCTTACCACTGTTAGTTAACTGTGTATTGGAGGAAGTCAAAGACATAACTCAGGGAGCTGGCTAACCTAATTGTGGGCCTTGTGCAGACCTGGCTGCCTCACTTTCCTTTCTTATAAATGGGGGAGTCGAACAGGCCTTTAAAGCCAATAGGAATCTGAGAATGATAACTTCTGAGATACTCATCTCAGGAGAACCTTGATGTGCTGTGGTCTTGTTATCCTGCATTGATGTTTTTTCATTGCACCTTTGTCTCTCTTTAGCACAGGACGCAAGCCCCAGAAGGACAAGCACTATGTCTCATTCACTGATGTATTCCAGTGCTAAAAACAGGGCCTGGGAATAATGCCACATACACATACTCGTATTTTTTGTTTGTCTTTTTTCTTTTTTCTTCTGAGACGAAGTCTCTCTCACTTTATCGCCCAGGCTGGAGTGCAAAGGCATGAGCCCAGCTCACCGCAACCTCAGCTTCCCAGGTTCAAGCAGTTCTCCTGCCTCAGCCTCCCAAGTAGCTGGGATTACAGTCGCCTGCCACCATGCCCCGCTATTTTTTGTATTTTCAGTAGAGATGGTGTTTCACCATCTTGGCCAGGCTGGTCTCGAACTCCTGATCTCGTGATCCACCCGCCTCGGCCTCCCAAAGTACTGGGATTACAGGTGTGAGCCACCACGCTAGCAAACATACTTTTAAATATGTCTCCAAAACAGAAAAATTCCTTCTTTAAAAATAATCACATACAAAAAAATTTACATCTATTTTAATGTAGAATAATATTTTGGAAAGTTAGCAGGAATCAACTTCAATAGGATTATTGAATAATTCCTTAATTATTAATAAGAACAAGTGTTCAACTAAGTCATGGTATAGCAATATTTGAAATCTTTCATTATTTTTTTTTTTCATGGCTCTATTTTGGAAGAAACACAACTCAAAAAATAATAAGCAATTATATTATGGTCTGCTCCAATGTCAAACTTGAAATAAGTGCATGATGTTTGGCAACGAATCTAGCACCTTTGGATCTTAATAATGTATCAACAGTCAGACCCAACGCTTCTTAGAGCAAAGCAGCAAATCTTTTATTTACACAGCTGTTTGGCTCCAGGGAAATATAAGGTAAGAAAGTAAAGCACTAGTACCATTTTACTATTACAAACATACTCGTCATCTGTTACACACAGATGGCTGTGGTTCATGTGTACACTCTCTGGCTACTGGACCAGCCAAAATGCAAAGCACAGACAATGAGACAGTGACCTGCACATGTTCAAAAAGACACATCTATAATTCTCTCTTCTTTTTTCTTCTCTTTTTTTTTTCCTGAGATGGAGTGTCACTCTGTCACCAGGTTGGAGTGCAGTGTCGAGGTATCAGCCGACTGTAACCTCCGCCTCCTGGGTTCAAGTGATTCTCCTGCCTCAGCCTCCTGAGTAGCTGGGACTGCAGGCATGTGCCACCAAGCCCAGCTAATTTTTGTATTTTTAGTAGAGATGAGGTTTCACCATGTTGGCCAGGAAGGCCTCAATCTCTTGACCTCATGATCCACCCGCCTTGGCCTCCTAAAGTGCTGGAAACACAAGTGTGAGTCACCACACCCAGCCTTTTTCTTTTTCTTTTTTTTTTTTTTTTTGAGACGGAGTCCTGCTCTGTCACCCAGACTGGAGTGCAGTGGTGCGATCTCCGCTCACCACAACCTCCGCCTCACGGGCTCAAACGATTTTCCTCTCAGTCTCCCGAGTAGCTGGGACTACAGGCGCATGCCACCACACCCAGCTAATTTTTGTATTTTTAGTAGAGCCAGGGTTTTGCCATGTTGGCCAGCTGGTCTCGAACCCCTGACTTGCCCACGTCAGCCTCCCAAAGTGCTAGGATTACAGGCATGAACCACAGTGCCCAGCCTCTCCTTTTTGATATACAGCTTAAAATAATTCTAAAATCTCCACTAAGGGCAGATTCTTTTACAGATGCAGAAGAACAAAGCAAGCTTGTTATATGTATACAGGATACATATAACCTAGATGTTCTACATCATTCCTCTCATTTTCTTAAATTAAATCAACCCTTCCAAATACCACAGATTACACTGAAAAACAAAAATCCCCTTCCCTAACTTCAAATAACCTTCCTACAAAGTTTTAATTAATTTGACTACTGTTCCCAAAAAAAGCACCATAATCAGCTTGTAAGAACTATGTATACATAATTTTATAAGAATGAGTGGAAATAAAACCCCAGTTCTCTTCCATATTCTCCATCTAGACACCAGAAAGAATTATGATAAATCCAACAGATGGATGAGCAAAAAAGTAGTTAATGCTTCTCAGCCAGCCATGCTAAAAACCAACCAACTCAGCTAGGCACAGGAAGTGTCCCACTTTAAACACCACAAAAATCTCTGTGGATTTATTTAATTGTAAAGTTGATAAAATACAAAAATAGCTCGCATTATGTTAGGATAATTCAAATGAAAGAATCATGAACTTCCGTCTGGGCTCTAGAAACTGGGTTTACATAAATGTCAAATTATATGCTTCTGTGCCTGTTCCTTATAAACTGTTAGGACTGGAATTGAAACCAGTACATATAAAATGTGGTTACTTTAAATACATTTGACACCTCCAAAAAGGAAAGAATTAAAACTGGCTCGAAGGATTTTAAAATTTCCATCCACTTTTAATTTAAATCATTTTCTTGAACAAAGGTAAGGCATAGAAATTTAGAATGGAAATAATTTACCTTATGTAAGTATAAAGCCTCCTTTTGGTAAAGAAAAGAGAGTTTATAAAGATATCTCATGTAAGTGCATATAACATCAAAAAGGAAAGACCCACACAACACCTACTTCTTGCTTTCTTTTCCTATTGGCTAACTCCTTGTTTAGTTATTTGTAATCTGATCACAGGTAGCAATGCAACACTACAATATCTCTAGGCTTTAGAAATAAGACAAATCAGAACATTTGAGTGCTGTTTGACAGTTTCAAGTTGCAGGAATTTTAAACAAATGCCAAGAAAAGCAATGAAAATTTAATCGGATACTTAAGTGCTGATTCTAGAAGTAACTTTGAGAGGAAGCTTTAAACTATTTCACTGTAAAATTTCTAATGAAAGCTTGTTTCAACGTGGACAAAAACGTAAAAGAATCCATAACACTCTACTTAATACATAAGTTCTGGTTTAAAAATTAACCTATGTACTTATAAAGTGAATTTAACACCACTTTGGTAATTATTTTGTAAAATATAAGTTGTTCCTTAAGAATGTTCAGAAACACAACGTCTAGAATTGCTGAAAATCCACACAAAGATAGAGGTTTTGTCATTTGGATAAAGGGGAAAGAACTATGGGAGGCAAATAAGGCTTTGTTTACCCTAATCAGGTAGAAACAAACAAACAAAAAATCCTTAATTTGGTGCAGAGGAGGAAAAAAAAATACTATCAACAATCTCAACTCCTCTGCTTCTCAGGTAATAGAGGTAAAACCACCAGGACAGAACAACATCTACACCTCTTTAATCTGGGTAAAGGTTTACCAGCAGGTTGAAAGTGGCTCACTTAATGGCCAAGATGAACACTCTGAGAACACTGCCTTTGCCTAGAATAACTAATTTCTTAACATGGGACTCTATTTTCACACGCAAAGGTGAAGTCCTCGCATTGCTGGAGAGATGAGAGAACGCCCTTTACACAACGCGTTTCACCTGGTGCTGAGCCCCCAGCAGAGTCTCTCTTGGGAGAGACTCTCAGGTCCCGAGAGATCCCGGGTTTCCAACAGCCCCTTTGGGCAGGAAGACACGAGAAATCCCGCAGCGAACCCCATTAGCTCCGCACTTGCAGAGGAGCTCGGCGAAGGTACGGGGCACACAACTCGTCTACCCGGCGGAGAAAGTTGCTCGCGAGCCCAAGCCTAGCAGCGCGCGCCAAACTTTCCAGTGGCAGCGCGAGCGCCGTCACTTACCGGCGGCAGAAGTCATGATTCCCGGGTGCGACTCGCTTCCCCGCTCGCGCCCCTCAATCCATGTTCCCCTTTCAGTCCATTGTTCCCACAGTTCGAGCAGAAGAGAAAAGCCCCCGCAGCGCCCACATTCCCTCCCGCCGCCCAGTGGCGCAGCCTGCGCGCCGCACAAAGGATGCGGCAGGCTTCAGGGACCCTGAGGCGCTCCCGGGCGCGAGCCGCCGGGGGCGGGCGGGCGGGCGAGCACGAGCGCCGCCCAGCCGAGCTACAGGCGGAAGGCCAGACGCGGGCACGAGCAGTGCTCTCCGCGGCTCCACTGGCGCGTGCACTATTCGAACTCCAAAAATCAGCCTTGCTCGGGGCGCCCCCTGCTAGTCGCAGCCGTAAAAGGCAGACAAAAGCCCTGGCCTCCTCCAATTGGAGGGCTCGCGCTTCAGCTCGCTCCTGCCTCTCCCACTCACACGCTCACTGTCTGCTCCAATAAGCGAACTCAAAAAGGGGGCGTGAACGGCGAGGCATGTTGGGAATTGTAGTTTTCTAGACCCACGGGTCGGGCAGAAGCTGGAGCATCCGTGCCGCCTGTTCTCCCGCCTTCATTTCCCATCGTGCTGAGGCGGGTGGCATGGCGGAGAAGGATGACACCGGAGTTTGACGAAGAGGTGGTTTTTGAGGTAAGGGAAAAATGGCGGTGGGTGTGGATTGCCTTTGTTTGAGAAGGTTGAGACGGAAAGCGAGGAGGCAAGGCGTTCCCGGAGCGAAGGATTGGATGACGTGCTCCCGTTGGCCCCGACCACCGAACCCCAGCGATTTTGGGGCCTAGTGCCCACCATCGCCTGACAGGTGTAGCCTGAGGCGCCCTGGCCGTGGCCGGCCTCTATCTCAGGCCAGCCCAGAATTCCCAGACGGTGCCGGGTTACCAGGCCCAGGCTGGAGCCGTGTCTCTTCCTACCCTGGAATGGATGCGCCTCGGGGGTACTGCGCCCGGCTGGGGCGGGGCCGAATCGTGCGTTTTAGATACAACTTAGCCTCCTCCTTTTCCATCCACGATTTTTTTGGGGTCAGTATCCAGAAGTGCTTCAGGTCACTGTTCACCGTCAAGGTGTGGCCCTCGGAATTAAGGCAGCAGGTGCCGGTTTTCTAACACGGTTTAAAGTCTATATGGGGGACCTACCGTGGATGGTTAGGGCCGGGGCAACTCAGCATCTAGATTCGATTCTTTTGTCCTTTGCTGTTGCGCTAGGTGTAGCCGGTTCTTCTGACTCGAGACTCTAGATGTGAATGCTTTTGTGTGGGACTATTTTAAGACGTTCTCTGCCATCTTGAATGAAAAAAATCGGGCGAGTGTTTCTGCCATTTTTCTATCAGACACACAGGTCAAAACTCACACCCCTGTACATACATGTATTGCATATGTATGCTTTACTTTCATTCATCCAACTAGATTTTAAGAAAATTTAAAAATGAGGTGTCTCGTCCCATACAGTTAGAAAGCGGGGCACAGACAGGACACAATGTTAAATGTTGAAATATATACAAACTGTCATTGAAGGATTAATTTCTGCTCTTGCGGCCACCCAGAGGCTACACCCAGTACTCAATATCCGAAGTGAATCTATGAATTGGATTAGAAAAACCGACAGGAGAAAATACATTACGGGGAAATAGAACTGAGTATGCCAAGCTTAGGAAATGTGAAAGTACCTGGTGTGCATTTTTAGGGGCGGGGTGTGGAGGAGGGTGGCCGTGTAAAGTGGCTTGATGTGGCGAAAATGTAGAAGCAGTGGAAAATGTGGCCATTTTACCGAAACGAAGATTCTAGATATGTGGCATTCATTAGGGAAGACAAGGGCCTGAATTTTGGAAACGAGAAAATAAGTAATGGAACAATGGCTTGGACAGACATTTCTAAGCTAAAATCGAGGCAATGTTTATAGATTAAATGTGGTTGTTGAAGGAGAGAGAAATAGATTTCTAGAGTAAGCGTAACTAATGGACGTATTTTTTTTTAACCCATTATTTTTTATTTCTGGATATAATAGTAATATATGCTTAAGAAACATTTTATTGTAGAAAATAAGCCCCCAAATTAAAATCATCCATTATCCCAACACCCAAAGATGGCCACTATTAACAGTATGGTTTGCGTTCTTATAGACTTTATTTCTATGCAGATGTGTTTATGTGTGTGTAATTTTTTTAGCCTCTATATTAAGACACAATGTTTGTGTGACTTTTTTTAACACAAAAGGTATACCACATAGAATTTTGTGTATATTTTTCACTTGACTTTATCATGAATGTTTTCCCATTCATCATTCTTTGAAAACAGTAATATTATACTATCCTCTCATGTATATCTTATTATAACCTTTACTTTTTTCAAAATACCATTGTAGTCAACACTGATACGTGTTTCTTTAACTCTAACTCCGATTTTCCTCAGAATAGTTTGTAGAAGTAGAACTAGTGCGTCAAAGAACATGAACCATTAAGACTTATGCAGAAAGGTTATACCAATTCAGGTTTCCATTAAGAATAAGAGTATTGGTTTCACCAAATCCTCAGCAACAGCCTTAACAGCTTTCTTTAATCTTTGCTAATTTGATAGGTGAAAATAACATTCTATTGTTTTAATTTACATTTTGTTCATTTATACATTAGCCATTTTTATTTCTTTGCTTGAACATTTCTCTTCATGTGTTGCCTGTTTTCTTCTTAGATGCCAGCTTTTGAAAAATTGACTTGCATGGGTTTTTCATATATTATAAAGCCTTTGTCATGCCTGTAGAAAAATTTCCAGTTTGTTGTTTATTTGCTTTTTGTTATACACACTTTTTATTGCAGTACAGTTTGCATAAGGACTGGGCACAGATCACAAGTGTACATACCTTTATATTTTCACATGTTGAGCACACCCATGTAACCAGCACCCAGATCAAGAAACAGGACAGGCAGGGCATGATGGCTCACACCTGTAATCTTAGTACTTAGGGAGGCTGAGGCATATGGATCCCTTGAACCCAGGAGTTTGAGACCAGCCTGGACAATATGGTGATATCCTATCTCTACAAAAAATACAAAAATTAGCTGGGCGTGGTAGCAAGCACATGCCTGTAGTCCCAGCTACTCCGGAGGCTTAGGTGGGAGAATCGCTTGAGTCTGGGGAGGTAAAGGCTGCAGTGAGCCATTATCGCACCGCTGCACTCTAGCCTCAATGACAGAGCCAGGCCCTGCCCTTAAAAAATGAAAAAAGAAACAACATCACCAGCATACCAGATGCTCCCTCCTGGACCTTTGCCGTCACTACTCCTTACCATAAAATGACCACTATTTAGGCATAATAACCTAGATTAATTTTGTCTATTTTTATTGTTTAGATACTGTGAATTTCCATGTATTGCTCTCTTATTTCTGATTTTTTTTCTCTCTGCTTTATTTATGAGATCCGTCCATATTGTTACATGACAATTTTTATTTCTGTATAGTATTCCATGTGAATATATGATCATTTTTAACTTTATTCTTCTATTGATGGTTATTGAGTAGTTCCCAATTTTAAAGTAGTGCTATTGTGAACCTTTTTGTATGTGTTTGGTTAAACATATTTCTGGTGGATATATCTGTAGGAATGGAATTGCTGGGTCATAGGAAATACATAGATATTTCCATAGATATTGCCAAACTTTATTCCAAAGTGGTTATACCAATTTATACTCCAGCCAGGGATGTGTGAGAGGTCCCATTGCCCCACATCCTCACCAACACTTGCTAATTTGAGTCTTTTTTCTTTTTATCATTTTAGTGGTTATATTCTGGTATCTCCTTGAGGTTTTAATTTGTATTTCCTTGATAAAGAAGTTAAGATTTTTAATGTGTTAATTGGCCAATTGTATATCCACTTTGTGAAGCCATGTCAAATTTCTTGCATATTTTTCTACTGGGTTGTCTCTTTTTCTTACTGATTTGAAGGAATTCTTTACATATACTGGATACAAGTCCTTTGCTAGATATGCAGTTGGCCCTCCTTAGCTGAGTTTCCACAGCTGCAGATTCACCAACTGTGGCTCACACCTGTAATCCCAGCTGAGCCAGGTGGATCACTTGAGGCCAGGAGTTCGAGACTAGCCTGGCCAACATGTCAAAACCCCATCTCTACTAAAAAAAGTAAAAACTAGCCAGGAGTGGTGGCGTGCACCTGTAGTCCCAGCTACTCCAGAGGCTGAGGCATGAGAATCGCTTGAATCGGGGAGGCAGAGGTTGCTTTGGGTGGCAGAATGAGATTCCATTTAAAAAAAAAAAAAAAAAAAAAAAAAGTAAATACTCAGGCTCAGCAAGGTGGTTCATGCCTATAATCCCAGCACTTTGGGAGGCCAAGGTGGGAGTATTGCTTGAAGCCAGGAGTTTGAGAACAACCTGGTCAACATTAGTGAGACCCTGCATATTAAAAAAAAAAAAATTAACCAGGAGTGGTGATGCATGCCTGTAATGCCAGCTACTCCAGAGACTGAGGCAGAAGATTGTTTGAGCCCAGGAATTTGAGGTTGCAGTGAGCTATGATTAAACCACTGTATTCCAGCCTGGGTGACAGAGTGAGACCGTATCTCTAAATAAATGAATACTCAAAAATATTCAAAAAATGATACAAATAAAAAACTATACAGGATAACAAGTATTTACATAGTGTTCACATTATATTAGGTATTACAAATAATCTAAAGATGATTTAAAGTATGTGGGAGAATATGTGTATGTTATACACAAATACTATGCCATTTTATATAAGGGACTTGAGCATCCATGGATTGGGTATTTGCCCTAGACCTGTGACCAATTCTCCGTGAATACAGAGACAACTGTATATACCTCATATATCTTATCTTTGGCTGTATGTGGCCTCTATACTCTCTTAATTGTGTCCTTCAATGAACAGAAGCTCTTTATTATAATTCTTTAAAAGCTTTATTTGACCTTTTCACATTTAGATCTGTCATCCATCTGCTACTGATTTTTGTATGGTAACAAGTGAAGATCAACATTTTTTTTTTTTCCATATGGATGTCCGGTTGACCTGGCACCATTTACTGCATCATTTTTTTCCCCACCGAACTGTAGTGTTGCCTTTGTCATAAATCAGGGTACCTTTTATATGTGGCTCTCTTTCTAGACCCTTTCTTCTTTGCCATTGATCATTTTGTCTCTTCTTGTGTTAATATCACATTATTTTAATTACTATAATTTAAAAAATGGGTTTTACTATCTGATAGCATAAGACGCTTCAGCTGTATTTTTCTCCAAGATTACCTTTGGATATTCTTGGACCATTATATTTTCATATAAGTTTTAGAATCAGCCTGTCAGTTTTAGTTCAAAACAAAACAAAACAAAAAAACTACTGAGACTTTGATTGAAATAGCTTTAAAGCTATAAATTAATTTGGGGAAACTTAACATCTTTACAATATTGAATCTTCCAATCTGTGAACATTTATTGCTTGCCTTCTACATGAGTCAGGCAGCTTCGCATCTCGTTCTGCGCTCTAGGCCTGATTTTACAAAATGAGAATTATCTACTTCTTCAGAATATAGCTAAATTGGCCTTACCTGGGGAAAAGAATGTTGTCTATCAGTTCAATTTCTTCTACGGTTATTGCTCAGTTACAATTTTCTATTTC